ATAACTAAAAAACTAATCCAAATTTTTGAAAAAGAAAAAAAATACTTCTTCATTATGTCAAAACACAATTATGTGCCGAGTTTCGTGCCCGGGCGAGGCTTCTGGGGCGATATATTGTGATTACAGACACACACACACACACAGCCGCGTTTATTATTATGTATAGATGATTACTATTTCACGCAGGTGAAATAAAACTCAATTCATTCTCATTTCAATTGCTATCAATAATTAACGCAGGAGAGAGATAAATTTTATCAATGGAGATCGGCCAGAATTATGTTAATGTTTATCAGACTCCCCGCTTCCAACCAACCAACTTTGTATTATGTTTCTTTTATTTCATTTTCTTTTACTCTGGGTTTTATACATATTACAAGTATTTGTTAGAAAAAAAGGACTTTAAAATGTTGTGTGTTATCACTGGAAGGCTTAAAAATGTTAATCACTAGAATTTATAACTTTGTAAATAGAGAAATTTTATTATTTGCTCCAAATGAGATTTTCAAGCAACATTGAAATGTGTATAAATGAAATGGTCATCAGTGGCATGCAGGAAGGAGAAAAAGGCGGTGACGGTCCCAGGCAGAATTATTCTTAGTCATTTACATAAAAAAAAACAATCTCAAGTATGGAATGAGATTTAAATGTATTGTTCCATCTGGAGCCGCGATGGCTCAGGGGATAGAGCGTTCGCCTTTCAATGCGGCGAACCGGGTTCGAACCCCAGTCGATACGAATTCCGCATCTGGCTTGCACCGACCACAGTGCTGACGTGAAATATCCTCAGTGGTAGACGGATCATGGGTTAGAGCCCCTTGCCGCCAGGCTAACCGTGAGAGTATCTCCTCTCCGGCTCAAAAATGGTTTTCCTCTCCGTGTAACGCAAATGCGGGTTAGCTTCATCAAAAAGTCCTCTACGAAGGCAAATTTCTCTCAATACTCGATCCAGAGTTCCCTTGTCTTCTGGATTGGGTTCAAAATGACAAGGCTATGGAGATGAACATTAGTAGTCGTAAACCCATAAAATTGGATCGTCTGTTCAACGACGGTTATAAAATTATAGAATGTATTATTCCAGGCCGGAATAGTCCGGTTGGTAGGGCACTGGGGCAACTGTCCAAGAGGTTGTAGGTTCGATCACCGCAGGCCGAAGACTCCCCGTGTAGTAAATGGTGACTGATGCATGTTAAATCCGTCTACCCCCAATGTCCTCCATGTTCCCATAACAAATCGTACCTCTGGGGGTATTCATCCAGGAGTTTCCTTGTCTTCTAGATTGGTTCAAAATTACAAGGCTTCGGAGTTAAACATTAGTAGTCATAAACCCTAAAATAGAGTCTGTTGTTCAATGACGGTTATAAAATAAAATAAAATTTATTGTTCCAATGTATTCTCGAATGGTTTTTAGAATATGTATCAGTTCTTAAATTCTTTTTGCGAGCTTCAGATTTTACATATTATTATTTGCATCTAACCAGGAAGTTTATTACAGACATTCACGGTACGGTACTTTTATTTATGTCTCACTAGAGCTGCACAGCGAGCTATTGGCAATGGTCTCGAAAATTAACCTGCAGTCTTCTCCGTATAGCAAAACCGGTTTTTTCATGTACTTCGAAAGAGAAGTTGTGTATGGGGGAGAAACATTATGCCAATTTTGCCCACTCGTTAAACCGCCAGTGGGTTAAATTTTTTTAACTAATGCATAGCATGAAAGAACTACTTATATCTTGAGCACTTAACAAATTTTTCCAAATTTTAAAACGATAAACTTAAAATCAACTTCATATTGCCCCCAAAACGTTTTTTTTTTTTTTAACTTTATTCTATAAAGTCCTTCACGTTCCCATAACAAATCATACGTCTAGGGGTACTGAATTGGAGATTGTTTTCGCGGTTCAGGTCAAAATTACGATCTGTGGATGAGTGAAGGGGTGTATGAATGGTTTCACCCTAAAAACAGGCTGTGACGTGTGTGTGGCTGAAGTCGTATTCTTGGTCGTAGCCATAGAAAAACAAAAAGCGCTCTCTCTGCGCTAAATTCACTTGGTTTCACCGATCAGACTTGCTGGCATGGCAAGTGGTTTAACAAAAACAACTTTCCATATTCTATTAATTGTACGCATACATTCAGTTGATATGCGCTGCCCCGAAAGATTCTTGAGATTAATTAACGACACAAAATAAGTTCTACAGTGTTCACTTACTCTATCCTTCAGTATTTTTAGATAGCATTGGTTTGATAATATAGGTCATACTGATGCACGTTGGTTCGCGAACCTCAAGTTGAGATTCGATATCTTGAATGATTACTGACACTAATAAAGGATACAAAAAATTTATAAAGAAATTCACTTACTCGCTCCTTTAGTTTTTTAGATAGCATTGGTTTAATAATATTGTAGGTCATACTGAAGTAGGATGGTTCATGAACTACATGAAAACCGGGTATGCGATAAGGGAAGCAATTCTAAATATGAAAGAAGCAAACATTAGGCAAAAACAGTTCTACGTGTATATTTGATTTGACACACAAGCTTTGAAATTATATATTTACTTGTATGCCTCTAAATACTAGTGTTAGAAATGGCGGAGATGAAAAGCAACGTAGCTTATTCAAAGTTATTCCTTGGAAATCAAAAATAACAGCTCCCCCACATACTTGGGATGCTTCAGTATCCATACCTAGTTCCCCACATAGATAGGATGCAGCGTAAAGCTCATATGCGGAAAGATTCACAACATCAAATTTTCCTGAAATAAAATAATAATAAAATAAAAAAATAAGATAAAAAATATAAGATTTAAATACCACTGCGAACGATTTTTTTGTACCCGGATCTCAGTACAGGATGTTAACTTGCTCGGGTGAGGGGATTTAAAATCTTACCAGGAAATTACAGATTTTCTGAAAAATGATATTTTTAGTAAAGCTAATTTTACGTCTGAATGTAGAAAATTGTAAAGAGCATATAGGTTAATGTACATACATATACACCTATCTGCTCCTTTGAAAATAACAGACAAAAAACATATGACCATAATTTATCGCATCTCCTACTAAAATGTATTATCGCCTTCTTCCTACTACTTTCTACGCACCAGAGAAGTGGAGATACTTAATAGTCACGCCAGAGAATTTCTCCACTTAGATTCATATCTGCAACTGGGGAAATTGATATTGTAGGGGAAGTCTTGGTTTATTTGTATTTTTACCAATTCACATAAATAATGAAAGACTAGAAATTATCTAACTCTAAATATTTATTGAACTCTAAATATTTATTGAAAAGGATAAAACACATGAATCAATTTTTTTCCCCTTTCCTAAAAATGTCATTGTAGCAGATTGGGAAAAGAACCACTTAATAGATATTATTTAATACTTATTGCAGGTTTGATAATCGCAATAGTATTAAAATGTCTCTGATAATTTGATATGAAATGTTTCTAATAATAGTTACCCTATCACACAATATTACTTGAGATAATTTGAACCAGTTAATATAATCTATTCAAACAACCAATGGAAGATGAAAATATACGATGTATTAATAATAAAGCAAGTAGTGGTAATGTAAATTATAACTATCAGTACATCAACAAAATTCCCATATAAAACACCAATATTGTAAATAAATCAATATTTTGAACAATAAACATTATACTGTATAAACACTATACAGACATTTTACTTTTATTTTTCAGGATAAAATTCTATTAAACCAAGATAAAACTTTTTTTTCTCCCAAAATACACTACTCTTCATTTATCAAAATTATCCACCTTTTACTAAAGTGTATTCAATATAGAAACATATATATAAAACACATAGCAATATAAAAAAATTCTTCCCCTTCTTTTTTTTTTTTTTTTAAGTAATAACAAATAAAAATTGTAATAATAAAACTATACTACAAGTTAGATGGATGAATTAAAAAGAAGCAACATATTCTTAAATATCTTTTCCTCTTTCTTAGCTTTAATTTTTTTTTTTTTTTAAATAACAAGTTTTATTATAATCTTAGCTAAATTCAATTTATCTCTGTAATTGAGATCAATGAAAATGAAACAAAATACAATATAACAACAACTAAGACATAAGTTCTTGATAATCATTTCCATAAGTTTCAGTTTTGACTTACAACACTCTCATTTTACCATGAAAAGAAATTCGTCTGTGGTTTTGGCGCCACAGAAAGCCATAAAGAAAGAATCTTGTCTGATTCACAGAAACGCAAGTATTAATCGAAAGTGATATTCATAAAATAATATTCAAATCGATGAATAATTTTAAACACACTTCTTAAATGAGAAAAAAAAATCTATGCTTACATATTTTAGAAGGCAGTTTTTTTAACTTTTGCACAATATATATTCATTTTGAAACATAAAAAGATAGCTAACTCTTATGATATATTTCTCTACCAGATTCTTAGTTTATAAAAATTATTTTTAGAATGAATGATTCAAAATACTTATAATATATTTAAACTTCACACACAGAATTACTATACAACATAATACTTTTCACTAAGTTTCAAATCAATCGATAGTAAATATTAATATTTTACTCTACTGAACCTTACTACTATAAAAATTATACTTAGCAATGTTGAGCGGGAAAGGGTTCTCCTCGTCTAGCTGGGGTAAGCTGGGAAAACGGAAATTCAAAATTCAGGAAATCGAGGTACGGGATGACCTCATTAGATTCCACAAATTGAACAGGATGTTCATTTAGTTTCTGGAAGAAAAAAATTTTGAGCCAGCAAGGAACCGTTAGTTTGGCCACGAGTTGGGCGTCATTTTGTAGGGGAAGTCTTGGTTTATTTGTATTTTTACCAATTCACATAAATAATGAAAGATTAGAAATTATCTAACTCTGAATATTTATTGAAAAGGACAAAACACATAAAAATAAAACAAGGATAAAAAAAAATACAAGAATTTAGAAGAGGGGGTTTTGGGCTCGAATTAAACGTCTGTACTTTACGGCCGTTCCTAGCAGACTGTCTTAGCTCACCGCCAGAGTCGCTGCAGTGGGGGAAAGAGAAGAGTTAGTCACAATATCTATTACAGATGGGATGCAGAAGAGGAAAGAGGAAAGATTCCTCGTAAGAGGAAAGATTCTAAACATCAAATTTTCCTGAAATAAAATAATGATAAAAGAAATAAATAAAATAAAAAATACAATATTTAAATAACACCGCGGCCAATTTTTTTGTTGCTTTTATATAAGTACTGGATCTTAACTAGCTCGGATGTGGGGATTTTAAATCTGTCCCTAAACTACAGATTTTTTTGAAAAATTATATTTATGATATTTTTTGAACAGTTGATTTTACCTCTGAATATACAAAATTATAAAGAACATATAGGTTTATATAGGTACATATACACTAATCTATTCCTTTGAAAATAACACTTAAGGAAAGAAAGACCATAATTTACAGCATCATTAATTAAAATGTATAATCGCCTTCATCCTACCACTCTCTACGTACTGGAGAAGTGGGGATACTTAGTTGTCAGGAGAGAGAAAATTTTAAAATCCCGTTTAGAAACATATTATTAAATTGTATGTAGAGACCTTTAGAGTTAATTTATTTTATGTCTGAATGTACAAAATACATAACATAAAAAAGAACATATAGGTTTATATACATATACACCTATCTTCCTTTCAAAAAAACACATAAGACGAAAAGCATATGACCATAATTTGTCTCATCATTAACTAAAATGTATTATCGCCTTCGTCCTACCACTCTTTACGTACCGGAGAAGTGGGGAGGCTTAGTACCCATGCGAGTTAATTTAGATCACTAATGTGTTTCTTGAACATTGTTCGTACGGGTTATATGCACTTATTTGCAGCTGTTAAGATCTAAAAAAGAAGTTATTTATCATATTAATTTACTTCATTTACAATATCAGTTATTGATAAAATTTTGATTATGAATGATAAAAAAAATTCAAACAACTTTTTTTCTGGATTTTATATTTTAGAACAAATATAATTCCATCTAACAAATTTTTAGTAACTATTAGATATTTTTTTTTTATAATCAAAAAATATCAAAACATATTTTTCTCGTAATTTCAGGGTCAGGAAAAAAATATACGAAAGAGACACCGATGTTCCATCTGAGAGTAGTCTTTTTAAATGAACTAGTCTTTTTCAAAAGAGATTTTACGTAAAGGTCTATCCACCATGATACATCAACAATAAAAGAAATATTTAAAGTTAAACGAAGATCCAAAACACACTGCTTATTTAAAGCTACTAATGTTCAACTCCGAAGCCTTGTAATTTTGAACCCAATCCAGAAGACAAGGGAACACTGGGATTACGTATTGGGAGAAATTTGCCTTCATAAGGATTTTTTTGATGGAACTAACCCGTTAATTTGCGTTGCACGGAGAGGAAAAACTCCCAAGCTTAGCCTGATTGCAATCAAACTATATCCCATGATCAATCTACGATTGAGGACATTTTGCGTCAGCATTGTGGTCGGTGCGAGCCACGTGTAGAATTCGTACCGACCAGCCATGGCTTGGATTCGAACCCGGCCCACGTCACTGGAGGGCGAAAGTTTTATCCCCTGAGTGGTAGTCTTATAATGCAGAATTCTTGGTTTAGTAAATTCGATTTATAGAATTTTTACTCACCACTACTTTTGAATACTTTAAAGGCTTATGGAATACTCCACTTAATTAAAGTTGAGCCTCCTAAAAAAATTAACGCTAACGAAGAATCAGTAAAATTTAATTCATGGTTCTCTACCGTTATTTAAAATATTTTGTTGAATCCGGGGCAGTTGGCATCTCAGTGGCTGGGTAAGTAAAATAAAATTTAATTCGATTTTCTCATTACCACAATGAAATATGTTCTGAAAGTACCATAAATATGAAGAGGGTATAAGTAAATTTTAACGGTACTTTATGCACAGTAGTCAAATTTTAACTTTAAAGTTTTTAAATCATGAATAAAATATTAATCTAAAATATTATAACCCACTATCTGTAATTAGTATAAAAAATATAGTAATCTTATAATTAACTAAAGCTGTCTTCTACTTATAATTATCAGAGTTGTAACCACTCAGAAATCATTCCTTAGAAAGCTTACAAGTTGACTGTTGTGTATACTTTATAGACATACTAACACTTTACAACACAATACAATACTAACACTTTACAATACAATAGAACAGTGATTCTCAACCACTGTGCCGCGGCACTTTTGCGTGCCGCCAAATTTTAGAAATGATACAATAAAAAATATAATGTTTTTTTTATTACGAGTAAAGTT